CAACACACACACAGCCTCCCTTCCCGCCCCTACAGGGCTAGCTAGGCTCTCCATCCCTGCCCCCACTCCACTCCCCTGCTGCCCCCGCACGGCGCCCCGTCAACCGGCGCCCCTCCCTTCAGGCTTCAAGCTGAACAAGAAGCTGTACGAGCTCATCATCACACGCTACTCGGAGCCTGACCTGGCCGTGGACTTCGACAACTTCGTGTGCTGCCTGGTGCGCCTGGAGACCATGTTCCGTGAGTGACCTCAGCCGCCACCCCCATTCCCACCCCCGCCCCAGGGGGAGCTGGCAGGACAGAGAGACAGGCACAGAGAGCCGCAGGCTGGTGACAGGCAACGGGCGAGGGGAGTGGGGCCACCGAGGGGCCGCAGGTCCAGACTGGGAGGCGGTGGGGAGGTGGGGTCAGTCCCAGCCCGGCCGGTCATGCCCACGGCCCCTCAGCCTCACAGCCACTTGTCTTGAACACAGGGTTCTTCAAAACTCTGGACACAGATCTGGATGGAGTTGTGACCTTTGACCTGTTTAAGGTGGGAACCTCCTGGGGCGAGGCGGGTGCTGGGGGGACTGCTGAGTGGCTTTATCTGCTCTTCAGCCCCTGCGGGGTGGGCACTGGGCCCATGCTGCCCCCTGACCTCCTTGTGTCTCGGTCCTAGTGGTTACAGCTGACCATGTTTGCTTGAGGAGGGGCTCTGGCCTGTCCGCCGTGTTCCCCATCTGCTACGCCATGCCTCGCACCGGCCACCCCCACTGCAAGTGCCTTTTCTGGAGCATGGGGGCCTTCCCTCTGTCTCCCCCATCCCAGCCACCATGATCGTCTCCCGGGCAGAGCTGGGCGGCCCTCCCGCCTCTGCGACCTTGTCCATCGCCAAACAGGAAGGCAGCTCTTGCTTGTTGCCACCTCGGGGTGTGCGGGCTCCCTAACCCCCGCCCCCGGGGCCGCCCCCAAGCCCCCACTCACCTGCCTCGCCGCAGGCTTTCAACCACAACCACTAGCTGACACAGTCGGGGAAACTGGCTGTGCAGAGCCCCCCTCCTGACAGGGGCCTCCCCCAGGTCAGGGGCGTCTATGTCCCATGTGCCCCGAGGCTGCCCCCTGCCCCTGCCCCTGCCCCTGCCCTTACTTGGAAGCAGCCCATCCGGAGAGGGCTCCCCCAACTCCTGCTTTTTTATATTGTTGATCCCAAGGGGACTGCAGAAATGGACTCACTGGTTATCGGTGCTGTAGGCGCCAGCACACGAGGGGTAGAGGGGCCTCCTGTTTCTACTCAGAGGAACCCCAATAAAGAAGACAAGGCCCCCACCTGACTCCGGAGTGTGTTTCTGCTCAAACTGGCTCCCGGGGAGGAGCTGCACCTGGTGGCACCCCCACCTCACCACACCCCTTCTCTGCCTCATGGCCTGGAAGCAGGGGTTCTCAACCTTCATACGACCTTGACCCTTTCCTATAGCTCCTCATGTGGGGGTTACCCTCTAATCATAACATTATTTTCACTGCTACTTCATTACTGTCATTTTGCTACTATTATGAATCAGGCGACCCTGTGAAAGGGTCATTTGACTCCCAAAGGGGTCGCGACCCACAGGCTGAGAACCGCTGCTCTGGAGGCTTGCTCCCCTGCTGGAACACTGGTCATCCAGCCCGTGGGGGGTGGGGGGGACGCATGGGCCCCGGGGCCCTGCTTCAGAGACAGGCCACACTGCCAGGGGTCTTACCCGCCTCCTCTCTGCCCCAGAGGCCTGACCCAGAGGCTTTGGCTGAAACCCAAACCCCTACTTAGCGCGCGCGCACGTACACCGCCACCCCCAGGACACTCCTGGACACAGAGCCACCTTCAGGTCCTCAGGGCAGGGAGGGCGCCTGTGTCCTTCTGACCCCGGCACCTGCAGCTTACATAAACCAGCACCCGCCCAGCGCACAAGGATCTGAACTTTTCCTCCCAGAGATAAGAGTTGGCCGAGATGTGGGCAGAGCAGTGGGGGTCGAGGGAGCCCTGTACTGCAGCTACAGAGCGTAAGCTGGAGGCGGGGGTGTCCCGCAGGACCCCGAGTAGCAGGCTGCCTGGACACCAGCTGGCCCAGCACCCAGGGCCAGGCCTGGGTGACATTCTGCCTCCCCCACCTGTTCCCGGAGCTCCTGGTTCGGGGCCTGCTGGCCTTTGGTGTCTGCATCAGCTGGAGGGGTGGGGGTGCTGGGGGTTGTGAGATACTTTGCCCCCTCCAGCCCCGCCTCAAGGGGTTCCCCGCCGTCAGTTTTATTGGATGAAGGGGTGCGGACATTGGAGGAGTGTGGTTGATCCCGGGGTCCTGTCCCCAAAGTCCCTGGCTCAGGTTGTGTGAGCAAGGGGGCACCGGGGAGAGAGTATAGGGCTTCCTGTGGGAGATTTTAGAGGGTTTTTCTTAGTATCCCCCAGGGAGCCCCACCCCAACTCTCCCAGCACAGGAAGTGGGGAGCAGCAGCCTTGGGCGCAGACCCCACTCTCTGACATCTAAGCTGCATGCCCGGGTAAAGGGACTATGCCGCGGGCTGAGGCTGGCAGTAGGGAGGGGGGTGTCCTGGCCCCTGCTGGGGTCCCCAGATAGGGCACCTGGGTGTGTCCATCTGAGCAGTGGTGTGTAAAGTTGCCTTGGGGACCTGTTCTTTTCTAGCCTGGCAGGTGAGAGAGTGGGGGTGGGGAGGAAGACTAGGAGAGGCCCAGGGGCCAGCCTGCTGCTGGGACGGAGGAAGGGATGGACCTCAGTGTGGAAACGCAAAGACCTCCTGTGAGGTGTAACAAGACTCTGAGCCACGGTCCCCCGCACGAGCCTCAGACCCACCTCCCAGGGCCCCCCTCGCCCTTACATAAGGCCTGGCTGCTGGGTCCGGGCAGGCCATGGCTTTCACAGACCTGCTGGACGCCCTGGGCGGCGTGGGCCGCTTCCAGCTCTTCTACACGGCCCTGCTGCTGCTGCCCTGCAGCCTGCTGGCCTGCCACAATTTCCTGCAGAACTTCACTGCCGCCGTGCCACCCCACCACTGCCGGGGGCCCGCCAACCACACCACGGCCACTGCCAACCACTCAGGAGCTTGGCTGAGGGCCACCGTGCCCCTGGACCAGGCCGGGGCCCCAGAGCTGTGCCAGCGTTTCACTGAGCCTCAGTGGGCCCTCCTCAACTCCAATAGCTCCAGCCACGGGGCGGCCACGGAGGGCTGCAAGGATGGCTGGGTCTACGACCACAGCGTGTTCCCATCCACCATCGTGACGGAGGTCAGCAGGGGGTTGGGGGGGAAGAGGGACGGGGGGCGGGGCACTGCCCAAGGCCCAGCTGCAGTGACCCTCTCTCCCCACCCCACCGGCAGTGGGACCTGGTGTGTGAGGCCCGCACCCTCCGAGACCTGGCACAGTCTGTCTACATGACCGGCGTGTTGTTGGGCGCCGCCGTGTTCGGCAGCCTGGCCGACAGGTGAGGCCGGGACCCCCAACCTTTGGCCACAAGGGTCTCAGACACCCACCATGGTGGGCTCTTCATGTCTGTTCCTTGATTACGATCAGGTGGTGCCTTCTTTGCGTTTGTTTGTATTAAAAGATAATTTTATCGGGAGCTTGTCCAGCGCTTATCACAATCCATACATCAATTGTATCAAGCATGTTTGTACATGTGTTGCCGTCATTCATTATTTTCTAGATACTTTTATTGAGTCCTTGGTGTCAGCTACCATTTCCCACCGCCGACCCCCCCCCCCCACCTCGCAGGGTGATGCCTTTTTAAACAGATCAAGCAGTCACAGAAGCACCCTCCCCTCCTGCCAGCTCCCAGTTCTTTCCGTGTGTGTGTGCCCCCACATCTCCCAGAGAACCTTTCTGCTTTCTTGCATTCTGCCCCCCAGTTTAAATGCAAATGCAGATACCCCTCACAGGTAGGTCTACATCCATCCCCTCTCGTTTCTCAATGAGCATTTGCAAAGGCCTTACCTGTCCTTGCTCATGTAAGCACCGTGTCACTCACCTGTGTGAATGAGCCAGAGTAGCTGAGCTGCCGCCCCTGTGACCCCTCTAGACAGATACTCACCTTCCTCCTCCTCTCTCAGCCCCTCTCCCCTACCCTGCTCCCATCTTCTCCCTCCCGAGGCCTCCCAAGGGGCCAGCCCCCACCTGGAGGCGCAGCCTGCTTCCCCTGCGGGTGGCTCTCTTGCAATCCTCAGTGCAGTGGGTCAGGACACGGACTGGTCTTGGTCTTTCTATGCAGCAGCTAGTGCCTGCCCCACAGTGGCCAGTCTGTCACCAGCCCCCAGGAGGGCCTGGCACAGAGAGGTGATCACTCACCAGCTGTGGAGTGAATGAATGTGGGAGGGAGGGGTGGAGAAGGGTGCTGCCACGGGCCTTCCTGGTCGGCTGCCCTCCTGTTTAAGCTGGGGCTGCCACCCTGCCGCGCCCAGACCGCCCTCCGAGAGTCTCACTTGCAAAGGGGCAGCACCAAGGCCAGAGGGAGACACAGCTGCTGCTGACCCTGGACCGCAGCCTGCCCACCACCACCCACAGGTTCTACGGAAGACACCACCCTTCTCCAAGGGCTCCCCCAGGCCCCCAGCCTCGTCAGTTATGGTCAGAGCGCCCCCCTGCTCTCCAGCCAGCAGCTCGCCCACTGGCCACCGGCCGCCCCACCCCTGCTTTCCCAGAATCCCCTCCAGGAAGCGAGGGACTGGAGAAACAGAACTCACTCCCTGCCCTCCATCAGAAGGGGCCCTGGTGGGGTCGTGGTTACCCGTCGGGCTACAATCCCAGTGGCTGGCAGTTCGAAACCACCGTAGCTAGGCGGGAGAAAGACTGGGCTTTCTGCTCGGGTAAACAGCTACAGCCTCGGACGCCCTCAGGGGGTCGCTGTGAGTCAGCACTGGCTCAATGGAAGTGAGTGTACTTTGGGTTAACCCTTTGGGTCAATTCTGACTCACGGTGACCCTATCGGGTAGATTAGAACCGCCCCTGTGGGTTTCCGAGGCTGTAAGTCTTCAAGGGCGTAGAGACTCATCTTTGCCCTGCTGAGCAGCGGTGGGTTCCAACTGCTGAGCTTGGGGAGAGCAGGCCAAGGCTCCTCTGCCCCGGCCACTTGTGAGGCTGGTCCGCACTCCAGAAATACTCCTTGAACGAATGAATGAACGAATGAATGAATGAATGAATGAATGACGGGAGGGGAGAGGAACAGATGGCTTCATCGTGTTTTCTCCCTTCCCCACCAACCCAC